GTACTGCAAAAGGAGGGCACTAGTGCTTTGCCATTTACACCCGCCTATCTTTGTTCTGGTTTTTTTCCACAGCAATTAGATCATTTGTCTTTCTGTAAACTTTTGACTAGTTGTGCTTTTTTAAATTACTTCATAGTGATACTTTTATCTTCAGTCAGTATGTTTTTATTTTAACTTGTTTAAATATTGCCTTGTTCATTTTGCTAGGGATTTGGAGAAAGCATTTTTCTGGATGCTTCCAGTGCAGTGGGCTTTTTTCTCTTCATTTCTCCTTGTAAACCTTTTCTAGAGAATTATTTATTAGGAATAATAAAAGTGTTCATCTTTTGGTCTTGATTCAATGATTTTGTGGTCCATGTTATACTACTGCTTCATAAGCTACAATAGCTGCCAGTTTGTTTCCAGGTGCAAGTCAAGGTGTCAGTTATTACCTTTAAAGCCCTACATAGCATTGGTCGAGGTTACTTGACGAACTACCTCACTACATTGGGACCAGCCTGCCCCAACTGCACCAGCAGAGGAGGCATACTGCAGACCCTGTTGGTCAAGAAATTCCGATGGTGAGATCAAGGAGAATGGCCTTTTCTGCTAAACTCTGGAACATCCTATCCCTTGGAGTAAGATTGGTTCCCTTCCTTTTGACCTTCCATAAGGGCCTGAAGACATGCCTCTGTCAGATGGGTTGGGGCCTCAACGGGGGAGGAGCATCACGCTAGAGGTGGTTGATGAATTAAGAGGCAATTCCACCTCTCCCCTCTGCACATTCTGCTCCGTCTCTATCTTTTAATTGTAATTCTACTTTTGATTGCTATTTCTATTTTGATTGTTTTAGAAATATTTCTCTTTTGTAATTTTAACACTTTTCATGCTGAAAGCCACCCAAACTCACTTCAAAACAAGTTGGGTGGCAAATTTTAATCAAAAAATAAAAATTATAGAGTTAGTTTTTACAATAGACATTCTTCCTCTGTCTTCAGTGCTTTTTTCCATTAAAGAGGCTGCCTGGCCTGGGCCTATGAACACAACTTGAAAGCATCTGGCTGCTTGGCACTTCTAGGAGAGGGAGAAGGAAAGTAATACAATATTTTTCTCTTCTACGCCGTTTTTCTTTCAGCATCATTCCTTTTTGGGATACAGCCACACATCTAAGCTGCTTGCCCTTTCAGTTGGGAACCCCTAGCTTAGGGGATATAGAATTGGCAGCAAAACACATGCAGTGCTCTACTTCCACAACACACTACTTGTTATGTTATATTAACTCACATACCTCAAATAAATGACATAGATGGCCCTGAGAACTGTAAAGGGGTGCAATACTATGTTTTAAGTTATATGTAAAGAAGTAATGAATTTGGTGTAGCAATTAAGCCATCAGGCTAGAAATTGGGAGACTGAGTTCTTGTCCCACCTTAGACATACCTTAGGCACAAAGACAACCGGGTGACCTTGAATTAGTCACTTAACTTGTTTTAAACCCTTTAAGATACCTGTTCTTTTAATTTATTTTTATTCTAGGGGCAAACCTTTTGAAAAAAAGAAAAAAATAACTTTTTGTAGAAAGACATGTCAAGATTCACCAAAGTACAAATTTAAAAAAAAATGCATTACCTGAGTCATCGCATACAGTATGACTAGCCAAGCAGCTGAAACTACAGATACATGAGCCCTACTTCTGTCAAGTTCACTATGAAATTTAGGTCAATATATCACTCCATAATCTCTTTTTTTAATTTTGTCAAGATAATATCAACACTATGAAGTATTTTCCAAATGAAGAGGGCTTGTATACAAAGTTCCATGCAGAAGATTCAATACTTATAATCAATTACAATTACTTGTAATTCAATCAAAACCTCCTGGAAGCACAAGCTACGTTGTTCTTATCTGACAGCTTTTGTCACTAATATATATACATTAATAAAAGATTAATAGTTAAAAATGAATATTTTCCAAAGGTTCACAAATAAAAAATGTTAAGTGTTAACATTTGTTATTTAACAAAGTTAACATTTAACTTTGTTACAGAATGCAGCTCCCTACAATGAAGGATCTCTGATACAAAATTAGGAAAACACCATATTTTCTATTTTAACAAAATTATAAACGTCATGACAATACAAAAGTCTATTTTATCTCTATTTATGTAAAGAATAACTGCAAATTCATCTATTAGCATATGAAACTTTTCTGAAACTATTAGAAAATCCTGTGGGCTAACCAAGGAACTTACTAACTTAAAAATAGTTCACTGAATTAATTAATGTATCAAATTTAAATTTCTGATGGGATTTGCCATGAAAACACAATTAGTTCCTAACACACATTCATTGCAACCTGATCATTTTTTTCTTTTTTTCTCAGAAAAAGAAAGTAGAGGTTTCAATTTCTCTTAAGTATGAAAATTACCCTCCTTAAAACAATTAGATAATATAATTCATGACAGAAAGCTAATAGAAACTGAACTGTCATTTTCCATATGACCATGCCACTATGAACGCAAAAATGTAATACACCCAGCTACTTCAGCACTGATCTAACAACAGATCAGTGCTGAATAGTAAATTTTCTAGCATTAAAGTAAGATTTCAAATGGTAAAGTTCAATTCAATAGCCAACTAAATTGGATAATATAAGATAAATGAGTCACAATAAATAATTATTTTTTTCTTTTACATGTAAAAATTGTACTTTCATTTAACAATTCAAGCAGAAGCTAATGTATTAAAATATCATGTTAATAATACCTATATTTCAAATATGAGAAAGGTATACAAAGTTTGAAGTCAAGTTCTTCCTAGCCAGGACAATTTTTACTTTGCCCATGTTAAAATAGCTGATATTTTATTTATCCAAGTCTAGAATCATTATTCCTAAATTACTCTTTATTGTTTTTTGCTAAGAATATTCTGAGCTACATAATTGGTTTAACAATTCTGTCTGGGCTTGAAGATATGGATCTTTGCCCAGGTGTTGATCAAGGAAAAGTTAATACACTTTGCTTGATCCCTGCCAGTCTGCCATTCTCACTGTCTATTATACTGTTATTATTGTATTTTCTTCATTTTAGTTGTTTTAAGTTCCCAGAGTCATTGGGAATGAAGACAAATTTGATAAATATCAATTCTTTAAAAATGCATTCAATACAATTTATGTTTATACAGACCTCATTCCGATATTGTGTTAGCATATATTAACAAATATAATTCATTGAGCATCTGAACATAATGTAGAGGCATACACTAACCAAAGAATTGTTCCTACTTCTGCTTCATGTAAAAGTGAGATTGATGGTTTTATAAATCAAGTAAATAAACACACTAAAGCCTTTGTGTAACTCAAGCCCCTATATGATTTAAACATTTTTTTTTGTTCTATTCAGAACATTCCAGAATTCAGGAAAAAATGTCAAGGAGACTTTAAGAAAAGTTTTTGCCAGTGATTATGAATTCTATCTGTATTTATTTAGGCTTAAAATCACTTCAGTTGTAACCAATTCTAAGTATCTTACACTGAGGTTCAGTCTTTCCTAAATATTTTTAAAGAATCAAAATATGTATTTGATTGCCAGAATATATCAGTTTATAATTTTACTTATGTTGATTCTTGTTCTTAATGTTATGTTAGCCACCCAGAATCACTCTGGCAAGTAGGTGGCCATATACATTTATTTTTTTATTCATAGATGTATCAGAGATTTCTTCTTTGAATGCTTATGTGCATATATATGCTCCAGAGTACATTGTGTATCAGTCAAAAATTCCGGACTGATATAGATTTGAAAACATATGTGACAGGCCTTTCAAACATGTAATGTAAGTCACTCACTCACACTCCATCCATCCATCCATCCATCCATCCATCCATCCATCCAGTCCCAAAGCACTGCAATGCACAGCATAGAAAATATAATAAAACACAAAATAATAATTACACAGCAGTAGGCATCTCCCAAACTATAAGATTTAACAATTGAAAACTTTCCTGATATCTTCGCCTTTTTAAATTCCTTTCCTAAATAGTGGAAGTGGGGGCACACCACATGGACCTTTTGGGAGAAAGGGATTGAGAAAAGCTGTTCCAGAAGAGAAAATTAACCCATTAATTAATCATCTATTAAAATATTAAAGTAAACATAAAGAAAAATCTGTTCTTGGAAATGGTTAGCCAGGTGCTTTTGAGAGATCTAAGTGATTACATACACATAAACAGACATTGAGTTTTCAAATATTCAACTGTTCTGTTCTTCATTAAATAAGGTTTTCAAAAATGAGAAAAGGTTAAGAGATAAATAGAGCAATCCCATACATTTCTGCACTTTAATGGATGGTTTTTATATAAAGTCTAAAAGCCTAGTTGTTAGTTATCTGTCATTTCTTCCCTATCTTTAATGTTTAACCCATATTTAGACAATATTTCCTGGTAGTTCATCACCAGCATTCAAATGCAGTGGCAAACTGGAAGCAATATGCAACTCTTGATAGAGTCACCCCTCTTCTTCTTAAATGGCCACTTTTTTCCAATTTGCATCTTTTAGAATATACACAATACTCTTTTATGACATTACAGTTTTAAAGCTAGATTCCAGCATCGCACATCCCCAAATAAACTGCACTTAAAATATTGTCCCAAATGAGATTCAGTTTAGTGTGGTGGTTAAAAGCACTAGACTACAAGCAGGGAGTCTATGAATTCCAGTCCTGCCTTAGGCATAAAAAACAGCTGCATGACTTCAATCCAGTTACTTACTCATTCCTGAGAAACTGGCAAATGTTGCAAGAAAATTGCATTGATTTCTCCAAGTAGCTGCTAGGAGTCAAAGACTGTATGATTCAAAGGCATACATACATACACGATACAAATACCAAATAATTATTTCTGTTTTGTACATACACTAAATTGAATCTAAAATGCTGGCTTGCCACATCTATTTTTAAACACACACAAAATTGCTAAAGTAGTAAATGTTTGGAATCCATGTCAAGGATATCCCAGTTTCCTACCTGTTTTTCACTTAAAGCCGTGATTTTGGCTTGGAGTTCATGAAGCTGCTTCTTCAAGTCAGCATTCTGCTTAGAAAAAAAAGTATAACAACAATTCTGCTCATTAATACAGATTTGCAATAAGACTGCTAATAAAGCAAAAATACACTAAAATAATAAAGCATCTAAATGTACAAAGAATATTTGAATTTCCTGATACTATATTTGTTTAGTGACTCTCAGGTTAATGTCACAGTTGACAGAAGGCAAAATACGAAGTATGATTTACTGGAGACGTTTAATTAAAATGTTTAATTAAAAAATTAAATTATTTCAAAAGATCTTTAATACAAAACTAAATCTGATCTCCAGCTTCTAGATCTTACAATGTGCATGAGGTAAAAGCAGATATATTTCAAAAAGTTATAATGCATATACATATGTATTATAAATTAACTGAACATTATCAAGTTCCTTAAAAGCAAGAGCACTGGAATTCTGTTCTCTACATTTAAGGCAAGACAATAAACCTAATAATAGTTATTAGCTATAAAATCCTGAATTTTATTTTATTTAAAATTCTAACACAATTTACTAGAGTAGTGTACATGTAGAGTCAATGCTTTGATTGAAACTATACACAAGTGTGCAGAAACTACAGTATCCAGAATTCAGTGCTTCACCAAGCACACCATTAAATGCCTTGCAAAGCTCTTTTATTTATGGCAATACTGCAAACTATGTGCCTTGTATTGTAGGATATTTAATAAAGCTACAATTGTAAAATATTCAGTGCATCAACTGCTGTTTTATAAGGAAATGAACGTGAATTATATATCTGTCATAACTTCTATACAAAACATAGTTTCAGGAGAACTTTTTCAGTTTGAAAAATTATAAACAACACACTAAACTATAATTTGATATTACTGCTTACTTAATTCATACATAATAAAAACATAGATTTATTCTGGAATATCAATTTATAGCTATTCATTTAGTGACCATTCAATGTTACTGAAACAAAAACGTATGACCGGTTTTCACGCTTATGATTATTGCAACATCCCTGTGTCACATGATCAATATTTGTGTGCCTGGCATGTATTTATGACAGTTGTACTATCCTGGGTCATGTGATGACCATTTGTAACCTTCCCAAATTCTCTTAATGACCAAATGATTCACTTAACTGCGATTCACTTAACCACTGTGGCCAGGAAGGTCATAAAATGGGGCAAATCTGACCTTGCAACAGAAATGTTGGGCTCAACTGCAGTCTACCTGTAACATGACCGCATGTCAGACCTCATTCACTATTCTAGCTCCATGCTTTGTTTAATTTTACTTCTGGATTCAAAGCAAATTATAGATTCACCCACTGATAGTGAACTATGATTTTGCTTGTCTTACAAACTACAAAGAATTACAAACTATGAATTAAAGCAAGCATAAGTGTTAAGGCACTGGTTGAACACAAACCCAAAATTAATCACAATTTTCTGAATAGCAAAACAAAGTATCAAACATACAACTACTTATATACTGAATATATTTATGAATGTTTTAATTTTATTTCAAAAAGTAATCCAGACAAACACACTAAATTGGATCTTACATTAAACTTTAATAATATAATATTCAATTTTTAGCATTAATAAAATGTATTTTACCTGTGGATCCTGTTTCATTTGGGCAACCAATTTCTGAAAAAAGAAGACAGATTTTATTAGTAATTAGTAAGGTCCAGCAAATATGAAGTTAGTGTTGCTCTTTTTCAACAAATGTGACACCACTGCTCCATGAATTGTTCTGGCTACCAGTATACTTCCAAGTGCAATTCAAGGTGCTAGTAGTCACCTTTAAAGCCCTTTATGGCTTGGAGTCAGATTATTTATGGGACTATATCTCCCCAGTTGTCTCTACCATTCCTGTCTCATCAGGCAGGAGAGGCATGCTTTGGATACCATTTGTTAAAGAATATCACCTGGCAGACCTAAGAGAACTTTCCTATTATGGCACCCATCCTCCAGAGGTTAGATTGGCCATATCTCTGTTGGCCTGCGATAAGTCCTACCTTGAAGACTTGATTCTGTGCTCAAGCCTGTCTTGACTGATGCCTTATTTGTCCCTGGTTCTATATGTTTTTATGTTTTTTAAAAATGTTTTATATTTTTAATGTTATTAGCTACCAGGGTCATCATGTATAGGAAGTCTTCAACTTACAAGTTCATTTAGTGACCGTTCAACATTACAATGGCACTTGTGACTTATGACTGTATTTCACACTTATGACCATTGTAGCATCCCCATGGTCACATGATCAAACTTCAGATACTACGCAATTGGCTTATATTTATGACTGTTGCAGTGTCCCAGGTTATGAGACCACCTTTTGCAACTTTCTAACAATGTTAATGGGGAAGCCAGATTCACTTAACAACTGTGTTACTAATTTAATAACTGCAATGATTCACTTAACAACTGTGGCAAGAAAAGTTGTAAAATGGGGCAAAACTCACTTAACAAAGGTCTCACTTAGCAACATAAATCTGGGCTCGATTGTGGTCATAAGTCAAGGAATACTTGCAATTGAGATGAGTTGGTCGTATAAGTCTATTAAAACATAATATGCCTACAAGTCCCTTCAAATTGTCTATCCCCGCAGTATAGCTTTAAGGCCAGTGGTAACTAGAATAATTTAAGTGGTTAAATTATAGTCAAAGCAGGCATATTTTGGACCCATGGAGATTCTCTTTAGGAAAGGACATATATTGCCTCCTTCAGAAATGATTATGAAAAATTCTATGCCACTTATGCTTACCAAGTCAGTAATTGCTTTGTTAGAACTTATCAGCCAAGATAGGCAAGGATCAAGTCAACAGTATTCCACTTCCATAGACTACAATGATGTAAACAGAACTCCAAAAATCTAACAGGGCAGCATTCTAAACACTTCTTCAGTAGCAATCAAATATCAAATTTACATCATATGGGTGACAAAGAACTGACATCAACAAAGCCAGATGCAAATCTGGGTAAGTATCACCCCAGCACAAAGTATCCATTAATATTGGTATACTAGAGATATAATTTAGAGGAATGTGTGCATCACTGAGTGGCAGCACTCTATGTAGCCAAAGTATTGTAGGTCTAAATTGTGTTAGTTCACCTTCCAACTTTTTTATTGTATCTCCAACAAAGAAAATACCTTAATTAAACATTATCTTAAGTATCCGAAGTATGATTATTTTGCTGAAGTCAATAGAATCTTATTTCATAGGTTTTAAAGACTCCATCATTAAATTAAAAGATAAGGCATTTAAACTTACTTTTCTAAAGATCATAGATTACATGAATTTCATTTTATACATGTTACAATTTCTAATAAATTTCTAATAAAGACACTGTTTTAGAAATGGTCAAGTAGAAGACACAAAACCGTAATCAAAGACTGTAAGTCAGAAGTTACAACAGCATCAGCATCAAAGAATTTAAGTAAAAATGTTTATATATGTACAATTTACATATACACAGCAAAATAATAAACAGAAATCTAAAAAGCATTATTGATCTGTGATGAAAAACTTGACAAAATATGCAAAGGATTAAAGGTAATGTGAGATTTTGAATGTGAAACAGTTTTTGGCATCATAGTGGTTTTGGCAAGAAGTAGACAATTTTCTTTGGGACAAAGTGAAAGAAATAAGAGTTAAATTAGAACAACTTCAGTGATAGAAGGTAGGACTCTTTAATAAAAGTATTAGAAGACAGATTTATCTTCTAACATAATACGTGGAAAATTCTTTATGTCCACTTTGGCTGCTCAAGAGCAAGCCATTAGAACTAATGCAATCAAGACAAGAATTGAGAAAAACATCAAATGGTTCTAAGTGCAGGCTTTGCAAAGAAACAGAAGAAACTGTACCACAAATTGCCTATAAACACCGTAACAGTCACCAAAATGATTCACTGGAACATATGTAAAAAGTGTATGCCAGTAACGAAAAACTAGCGCTGGAAACAACTAGCACCCATGTGCGAGGGAACCTTTAATGAAAAACTGGTAGGAACATAAAAAAGAAAAGAAACATAGAAAAAGTAATTGAAAGTGAGCAGATTAAAGTACTGTGGGACTTCCAACTGATAAGGTCTTGGTTTAAATTAAGTCTTCACACCAGACTTAATTGTGGTTGAAAAGAAGAAAGTGCGGATAATTGCTATGGCAATAGCAAGTGAGAATAAAATACAGGTAGTCCTTGACTTACAACCACAATTGAGCCCAACATTTCTGTTGCTAACAAGACAATTGTTAAGTGAGTTGCCCCCCATTTTATGACCGGTTTTGCCACAGTTGTTAAATGAATTTTGCTGGCTTTCCCCATTGACTTTGCTTGGAGGAAGCCAGATGGAAAGGTTACAAAGGGAGATCACATACTCCCAGGACACTGGAACCGTCATAAATACATGTCAGTTGCCAAGTGCCCAAATTTTGATCATGTGATTGTGGGGATGTTACAATGGTCATAAGTGTGAAAACTGGTCATGTCACTTTTTTCAGTGCTGTTGTAACTTTAAACAATCACTAAGTGAATGGTTGTAAATTGAGAACTATCTGTAGAAGACAAAGAATTGGAGAAGATCACAAGATGTCAAAATCTGAAAATTGAAGTTGAAGCATTATGGCATAAACCAACCATGGTGGTCTAAGTGGTTATCAGCACATAGGGTGTCATACCCAAAATTCTTGGATCCTACTTAGAAAATCTAAACATTAACAAACTTTCCATCAGTCAATTACAAAAAGTCATGCTGCTTGGATCCAAACATATACTGTGCTAAAAATTACAGCATCCTAAGTTCTTGAGAAGAACTCAATATATATGTAAGCCAACATCAGTTAAACAATTGGCAACTGTGATTTCACATTGTTATGTAAATAATAATAGTAATATCGTAACATGCAACGAAAAGTATGGATCTGAAAATGTATATATTAAAAGACAAAAGTAAGACAGTCAATGGTCTTCTTGACGCCTGAATGGTATCTATAAATCTGGCTGAAAGTGCACCCCTCTGGAGAGCACGCTGCTCAATTGCGAGGCAGTCAGTTGGAACCACTGAGATTCCGGTGTTCCACTGACCCCTGAAGAAGGACAACCCTGTCCGCTGGAATCTGCCAAGGTCTCTCCACCGATAGTGCCCGAATGTCAGCGAACCACGGCCACCGTGGCCAGTAGGACACCAGAAGGATGAGCTGCGCTCCTACACTGACAACCTTGCAGATCACCCTGGGTAGCCGCCGTGCTCCGAGCATAACTTCTTCTCCAGCTTCCAAACTCCAAAACTCGGCTGCCAAGTCTTCCAGCAGCGGCCGCTCTAGGAGTGTGCTCTATGGTTGTGGACCGGACAGAGTGTCTTCCGGACAGAGAGTCTTCTGGACAGAGTGTCTTCCAGAAGCCAGCCCACAACCATAGAGTGCACTCCTAGAGCGGCCACTGCTGGAAGACTCGGCAGCTGAGGTTTGGAGTTTGGAAGCCAGAGAAGTTATGCTCGGAGGGCCGCAGCGGTGCCCTGCCCCTACAGGGAAAGCTGGGCCAGGGCATGGTGCGGCTGAGAGGCATGCTTGCTGGCGGCGGAACAGGCACTCGTGCAACCCCCCACTCCAGCCGGGCAGAGCTCCATGCACTGATCTAGGGGGTATCCTTAATGTGCCAAGCCACAGGAGCTGGGGGGCAGGCAGAGAACCACATGGCTTGGTGCTTTAGGGAGCCCACTCGCAAGGGAGCAGCCACCCGGCAACTCCCCTCCGGCCAGGCAGAACGCCACTCCCCGACCTAGCAGTATCCCAAAGGCGACAAGCAACATGAGCACCTTTTCCCCCCGGCTCCCACGGTTTGGCGCCTTCAGGATACTGCTAGGTCAGTGAGTGGTGCTCTGCCTGGCCGGAGGGAGGGTTGTTCAGGGGCATTATTTTCAGGGGTGGGCTTATATTTTTGCCCACGCGAAAAATGTGCCAAGGCGTTAGTTTCAGGACAGGTTGTATTTTCGGGGAAACACGGTATGTTACTTGAGATGTTGTCCATGTCACAACTGTATCCACTTTTTTCTCCAGGAAAGGACTGTTTGTTGAAGACAAAAATTGTCCAACTCAAATTTATGTCAGTCCTACTTACATAGTATATTTTCAGCTTATTTCTGCTTAAAAAGATATGTATATGGTCCTATGATTTTACCTACAGTGTATTCAGAAAGCATTCAGACCCCCTTCACTTTTGTCAATTTTGTTATGCTGCAGCCTGATTCGACAGTTGTTGAAATTCATTTCTCATTAATCTACACTTAATAGCCCATAATGACAAAATGAAAACAGAATTTTAGAAATGTCTGTAAATTTATTAAAAAGAAAAAACTGAAATATCACATTGGCATAAGTATTCAGACCATTCTTTAATCAGTACTTTGATAAAGCACCTTTGGCAGCAATTACAGCCTCAATCTTTTTCAGTATGATGTGACAAGATTTGCACACCTGAATTGGTGGATTTCCTACCATTCTTTCTTGAAAATCTTCTCAAGCTCAGTTAAGTTGGATGATAATCATCGGTGGACAGCCGTTTTCAGATCTCTCCAGAGATGTTCAATAGAGTTCAAGTCAAGGCTCTGGCTGGGCCACTTTAGGACACTCACACAGTTGTCCCTAAAC